GGGTCTAGGCCCGAAACGTCAGCCTCTCTGCTCCTATGATGCTGCTTAGCCTGCTGTGTTCATCCAGCCCTGCACCTTGTTGTCTCGGATTCTCCAGCATCTGCAGTTCCTACTATCCCCAATCAAAATAAATATCTGGTTAAATGGTCATCCAGTTCTAAGAATGTCGATACCAACACGGACGTATCAGTGATCTCAGAATCAGTTTTTAACAAAATTCGCTCTGGACTCCTGCCCTTAAGTCTGCGCAAGACCTTTACTAGGCTGAGAACCTATACCAGGGAATCTTTACAGATTAAGGGTACAACTTCAGTTCTGGTTTCTTATGAAAAACAGCTCATTCAGTAACCTGTGAAAGGCTCGGGTCCAAATTTGATGGGGAAAAATTAGTTGTGAGAGATTCACCTACATTGGCTCAACATTTTTTTATTAGAAAATGGCTGCCTGAATAAAGTCCTAATTAAATACCTTGAGGTCTTCTAGGAATGTCTAGGGACTATCAGAGGAGCCAAGACCACCTTGCATGTTGACTATGAAATAATTCCATGATTTTCCAAGGCCTGCCTACTGCCATTTGCCTTATGAGCAAAATAGGGGCAGAAATCAGAATGCTGGAAAGTGAAGGAATCATCAAACTAGCCCATTTTACGGAATGGGCAGCACCAGTCATAGTGATTGTGAAGTGGTCATATTTGGACTCAGGAAGTTCCGCCAATACTTTTATGGCCGAAAAATTTGTGCTAATCACAGACCACAAACCCCTACTTGGTCTGCTTAAAGAGGAAAAGGCCAGCAATAGATTTGGGCTGCATTCAGCAGTGGGCTGCAATACTAACTGCTTATAATTACAGGTTAGGGGAGGCAGAGTAGTGATTGCGGATGTATTGAGCTGTCTCTCATTAGCTGATACACCACCAGTGGTATTCCCAATTGGAAAGTCTGTAATAATATTATATTTTCTGGACACACTCTCAGTCACAGCTGATAAAATCAGACCTTTGGATGTGGAAAGACCCAGTCCTATCAAAACTGAAACAACAGGTGGTGATGGGGAAACCAAAGGGCTGTCACAACGAGAATTGAAATATGTTTGGACCCGGAGAGACCAGCTCACTGTAGAGGACGCCATATTGTTATGGGGAGCAAGAGTGATTGTCCCAAGCAAAGTTCACCACCCAATACTGGCTGATTCCACCAGGGCCATCCAGGGGTTTTCAAAGTGAAGATATTGAGAAGAAGTTATGTCTGGAGGCCCGACCTGGATACAGACATAACTGCATTGGTGAGGCAGTGCCCAGAGTGCCAACAAGGACAAAACTTACTGCCAGCAGCTCCCCCACATCCAAGAGAACGGCCGGGTAAACCTTGGACTCGGTTGCACGTTGAGTATGCAGGTCCTTTCATGGGTTTATTGTTCTTAGTCACTGTAGATGCCCACTCAAAGTGGATGGACATGCATAGGGTCTATTAGTGAAACATAGGGACAACGATAGAAAAACTACACGTGTGTTTTTAAATACACAAAGTGTTGGTCACAGATAACAGGCCATCTTTTAACAGCAGGGAATTTTCCTAAAGTCAGATGGGATTTGACATATAAGGACAGATCCATACCACGCATTATGCAATGGCCTATCAGAAAGAGCAATTCAAACTTTGAAGGCTGGCTTGAAGAAACAACCTATAGTCTCGCTAGATACCAAGCTGTCATGGTTCTTATTTAATTATAGGACCACCCCACATGCATCGACAGAGTTGCTAATGGGTAAAGGACTCCACACAAGGTCAAATCTGTTCTTCCCTGACCGGGGAGAGGGAATCAGGGCAGGGTGAAACGGCTTCAGGAAAGCCAGTGCCAAACACAAGACTCTGCCAAGCAAGAGAGAAGTTTGATAAAGGGGACGAAGTTTGGTGTAAGACTCATGGAAATGGCCCTGCATGGGTAGGAGGTATGGTCAACGACAGGT